CTTAAACCCAACAGTGTTTTTACAACAAGAGAACATCTGACCATGAGCTTCAGCGATTAAGCAAAAGATACTTTGCTTTGGATAAAACCCAGCCCCAAAAGAAAATGTGGAAGAAATCATCTGAAGAAAATTCTCAACTGGCAGTTTTCTATTGCTTGCAGAAAGACCTTCAAAAAGTTGAAAGAAATCTCATCAACTTAGTCATTTGTTAGCTATAACATCTGTTTTTCTACAGGGTTTTTTTTCAATAGGTTCCTGGAGCTTGAGTTCTCTACCTTTCCCCCCTCTGTCTACTTTACAATCACCACACTGTCCCTGAACAATGTCATGTGAGCTGTGAACCCTTAACTGAAGATCTACCCCAAGTAGTACAAAAGCCGTGTCTCATGGCATCCCAAAAGTTCAGGAGCAGAAGTGGAGAAGAAAATGTGTCATTGAGCACTTAAGTGCATTCACATGTCACAAAATCTCACAAAGAATCAAACTCACTGAAAGGATATTTTTCCACACTTCTGAGCAATAGGCCATTCAAAACATTAGGGGCCTGGCCTAGGATCTATGATAAAGAAACACAGAAAGGTCCCAAGACAGTTCTACTCCTCATTTTCCAGATATACTGCTCCTTTCAACAATGCAGAATACAGTATAAGCATATTTTAGCAAATATTTGAAAAGAAATGCAATATAATAAAGAACAATTAAAAAGTAGAAACTTCAATTAAATCAACACTTACAACTTCTCTCTTCCATTCTTTCTCCATGAGTATGTCGGGAAGTGAAGTTGTAAGCAGCAGACAAAAAGACATTCTCAAGAGACAAATTTCTAAACATATATAACCCATATAGCTATCATGAGACAAATTTCTAAACATATATAACCCATACTGTATAGCTATTATGATAAGATATACAGTGGTGCCCCGCTAGACGCTTACCCCACATGACGTCGAAATCGCTTTATGATTTTTTTGCAATCGCTATTGCGATCGCAAAACAATGATTCCAATGGGGTTTTTTCACTTGACGCTGATTAGGAGCCTGCTTTATGAACCGCTTGCTTTCGCTTGACACTGATTAGGAGCCTGCTTCACGAACCTCTTGCTTGCTAAACGACGATTTTTCCGGCTCCACAAAATGGCTTCCCTCCCGTTGCAAAATGGCTGTTTTCCGGACCCCTGCTTCGGAAGACAGCGATTTTAAACAGCTGACCGGCGGTTCTCTATGGGCAAGCTTCGCTGGACGATGAGGCATTTCCCCATTGGAATGCATTAACCAGTTTTCAATGCATTCCAATGTTTTTTTTTCGCTTGATGACAATTTTGCTTAACAGCGATTTTCCTGGAACAGATTATCGTTGTCAAGCGAGGCACCACTGTACTATGCAATCATTGCATCTTAAGGTCGTTGTCAAGCGGGGCACCACTGTACTATGCAATCATTGCAACTTAAGCTTTGTATTAAGGTATTTCTGTGTGGAAATACTGCTGGCATAGTCCTAAACTCTTTTGGTTCCCATCCAGAGCCTTGCACACATGTGGAGTTTTGGTGTCCTTCCTAATTCAGGAGACTCCTGAACCATGAAATGAAAATCAACCAAAAGCAAATTGCAAATGTATGGGGAGGGGGCAGGAGGGACAGAAAGACATTCCCCATCATCAAAAACTAGGATTTTGCTAGATTATAGCCATGATGTCAAAATAAGTTCCACTGAAGTCATAAGAGTTAACTTACAAGAAATGTAAGGAATTGTTGCTTTTTTAAAAAGTATCTGTGGAAAATATGAGGCCCTAAAATATGTAAAATGAATTAATTTGCCGGGCCACCATAAGGCAGCAGCTGCAGTAGTGTATTGAATTACAGAAACTGTAACCTAGACATTTTAATATAATGTGAACATTATTAGGTTACACCAAATGTTTAAACTAAAAACAACAGCAGAGGGGCTGCACATATGAGTTGCTTCTGGGATTGGGGGATGGAGAAGCACAAATAAATGCACAATTTCAGATGTACAGTAAGGTTTAATGTAAAAAACAGATGATGATTTAAGGTGGAACATTGCTTCTTGTTTAATTTGCTGCACATCTCATTTGCTTGTTCTCCATACCTAGTCAAAAGCATAGTCCTCAGATTTTCAAAAACTATTTGCCACTCAGTTCTGTAACGCTTATTATTTACAAAAGCCCTTAAAGGAAAGATCAAAAGAGCAAGTCTAAGCGTCTATATTCTTTTCTTTTATATTCTTTTCCACATCTCCTGATGAGTAATTTAAAGTGTACACATTCACAACCCAAGCCAAAAAATTGGCCGATACTTTGATATACTGCCATAAAGGATGTGAAGACAACAGAGGTTGCAGATGGCCATGTGTCGGGAGGAATGCAAATGAAAGAATAAGGGAAGGGTTTAAAAAAAAAAAAAAACACCAACAACTGTAGATAAAAATAAATTCTTTGGTGGCTTTTTTTTCATTCACAAGGAAAAAATACCCAAGCTTTTGGCTCTTTTAATTGCTTCTCTTTATTAGATCTTAGTTGATCTGCTATTATATTTAGCTTAAAACAGCTCCAACTGTACAATGTTAATAAAATTTTCCTTTCAGAATCTTAGTTGCCAACTGTTTTTCCTTTTTCAATCCATTTGCACAAGTTTTTATACTTTTCGAATCAAGCCTATACAATCACCCTGCAAGATTAAAAAAAACTGTGATGGGAACAGGGGTTCGGACTTTTCCTTGCAAAGAGACTGAAGCACAGATAACCCGACTCCCTGCACTCAAGGCTCAGTGATGAGTCTCTGCCTTGAGGGGAAAGATGATGTTCCTAGGACTCTTCTGCTATCATCAACTACAGTGCATGTAGTGGCCTATCTTCTTCTCCCCTTGGTCACCCTCCATGCTTGTGCCGATGAAGCAGCCACATCAGGAGAACAACCCTGTTGGGATTTGCTGTCTCTTTACTTCTTCTCTCATGATGATATCACTACCCTTATACGTACTCAGAGAGAGCAGCAGGAGGATCAGGGCTGCACAAGCATAACTTGGCTCAAGAATCATAATGTAGCAGTTTAATTAATGTTAATGAAACAGTTTAATTTTGCAAGTTTTCCCTGCCCCCCTTCACATTGTTTTCAACTTGTGAGAAAATAGGTTTGCAGTATCCCAACAAACAGCTATACAATTATGGCTGACTCAGAGGATACAGATATGGAAGAGATCTTCCTATGGAAATTCTAGACAGAAGAGTATAAAGAGAAATGTACCATCCCAGAAATAGGACAAACATACACGAGAGCCATAGCTGCTGAGCTAAAAAAAAAAGGCTACATTTGCATATGATTTTTAAAAAGCCAAAGTAGAGTGGCCATCTAATGACCAAATTTAAATAACTATGCACCAAGGAATGAAGAATACTTATAAGTTGTGGGGCAGAGGCTAACAGGGTCAGCAGAGTGCCATTCACACAAATATGCAATGTCCCAAACAGGGCTGAGTGATCTCAAGGTGTGAGGAAAAGGTCAAGGGCCATTTTCTACATCTACTGGCAGACTGAGTTAGCTGGATCACATTTAATTTTTAAATTATTTTTAACTTTTAAAAAGGCAGTGTTTACAGTAAAGGTTGCCAAAGTGGGCACTTCTTGATTTAAAAAAAAATGGGTTTACTCAATTTTAATAAATAAGTGAAATAACCCGGGACACACTAGAAGCAACCGTATATATATAAAATATATAAAAATGGGGGGTATTGGGAAGTCTAAGGTCCTTGGGGTCCTTTCAGAATAGGGCAAAATTGCTTGCAGCCTCCTAGAGGGCACACCACGATTTTCTCAACAATTTCTTCCCTCCAATTTTTTTAACAAATGTTGAGGTTTGTTGGAGGGGACCACTGTGTAGGCTGAGCAAGGAGTGCAATGCAACTGCTAACTTAGCTTTGTGACTGTAGCTCCTGAATATCACAATGGTTAGCCTGCTAACTTAAGTTTGTGACTGTAGCTCCTGAATATCACTATGGTTAGCAGAACATACTTCCCCCTTTGGAAAAAAAATCATATTAATACTTCTTAGTTTTAAAAAAATGAGTGGCCTGAATCCAACTGTAGAATGCTGCTGGTCTAAGCCCAACAGTATAAACTTCATGGGCTAATTGGCACTAGATAAGTGTAGGCATTCGGTGTCATATGTAAAGTCAGATGACTAGTTCGTGACAAATGCCTACACCAACCTCTTCACTAGTGGCAAGTTGACATTGAGATTTACCCTGATGGACTTCACATCACTAGGTTTAACAGGGATTCTGCCCAGCATTTGTTACAGAAATACAGTGAGATCAAAAATATACCATCAATTATATTTCTAGCTAACCAAGTGAACATGTACAGTCACAGTTGCCCCATGCTAGGGACAAAGACAAGATGTTTCCACTGTTCTGTCTCAGAGAGAGTCAAGAAAAAATGTGAGAAGGAGGTGCTCAGAATATCATTCTAGGCTGAAAGGAGTTCAACATGTGTCATAGCAGGTAAAAAGCTCAGGAAACCTAAGGAGTGCCTTCTCTTTCTATCTGTTTCTTCCCATTCAAATACTGTACATGCATTTTCCTCAGTGTTCTTTGTACTCAACCATGTCCAACAGGATGAAGGGCTCTAAGCATGTTGGGGATTGCAAAAACCGTCCTGGGTCCATACATAGGCATTCATAGGCACCATGTTGCCCACTCCTGCCATAAACATTCCAAAGCCAACAACTAAGATTGCCTGGGGCGGGGAGGGGGGATCAAAGGATCTAAATACTAGGCAAAAGGAAAGAGTGAGTTTTTCACATGCCAGGCAAATGGAGTCCCTTAAGGATCCCAACAGTTTCTATCACAGAGCATCAAATATAGCTCTAACCGTTATAGGATGTTGAAATTGTCACATTAAACCCCTTAGTAGCTTGAATGGCCTGCACATCATCATCAACGCAGTACTATAACAGAATAAAATATTTCTGTGCTTTATTTTTACCTTGTGATCATATGGGTCATATGAATGAAACAATCTGGATAGTTCTTTTGTTCTTTGTTTTTTCTGTTGGAAAACAAAACAAAAAAAAACACTCTATAATAAGGCTGGAAACCATCCCCACCCCCTGAAAATATGAAACATCTTGAATGTTCCAAAGGTGAAGGCATTTATATAGAAAATAAAGATTTTCATAAAATTTTGACATGTGGCAATAACATATTTTCCGCAAAACTCAGTACCACCTGATAAAACTCTGAAAGAAAAAGGTCAAATATTCAAAAAATTCCCAAAAAATTAAAAAATACCCAAGCAAGGAAACACAACCATTAGTAAGAAATGCAAACCTAGTGCTCTACATGGATTCATAACTGCAAAGATATGGTCTGCCTCCTCATGCATATGGAAAAGTTAAGGACTCTCATGATATTACACTGATTTCAGGAGCACAGGATTTACTTCAATGGATTTACTTCAATGCTGCACTGAACCCAGAGTTGGGAAGTAATGCATTATAAGCAATGTGTTGTTGTTGTTTAGTTGTTAAGTCATGTCCAACTCTTCATGACCCCATGGACCAGAGCATGCCAGAGCATGTATTCTTGAAGGCTTTCATGGCCGGGATCTGATGGTTGTAGGAACTCCAGTCGGCCACAGAGACTGGCGAAACGTCAGGAAGAACAATCTTCAGAACACGGCCAAAGAACCCAAAAAACCCAAAACAACCATGCCAGAGCATGTCCGACTCTTCCTGACCCCATGGATCAGAGCATGCCAGGCCCTCCTGTCTTCCATTGCCTCCCGGAGTTTGGTCAAATTCATGTCGGTAGCTTTAATGACACTGTCCAACCATCTCGTCTTCTGTCATCCCCTTCTCCTCTTGCCTTCCCATTTTCCCAACATCAGGTTTTTTCCAGGGAGTCTTCTCTTCTCAGGAGATGGCCAGAGTACTGGAGCCTCAGTTTCAGGATCTGTCCTTCCATTAAGCACTCAGGGTTCACTTCCTTCAAAATGGATAGATTTGTTCTCCTTGCAGTCCAGAGGACTCTCAAGAGTCTCCTCCAGCACCGAAATTCAAAAGCATCAATTCTTCAGCGGTCAGCCTTCTTTATGGTCCAGCTCTCACTTCCATACATCGCTACTGGAAAAAACCACAGCTTTGACTATGCGGACCTTTGTTGTCAAGGTGAAGTCTCTGCTTTTTAAGATGCTGTCTAGGTTTGTCATCGCTTTCCTCCCAAAGCAGACGTCTTTTAATTTCATGGCTGCTGTCACCATCTGCAGTGATCATGGAGCTGAAGAAAGTAAAATGTGTCACTGCCTCCATATCTTCCCCTTCTACAGTGGTGCCTTGCTTAACGATTGCCCCACATTATGACGAATCCGCTTTACGTCTATCTTTTTGTGATCGCAATTGCAATCTCAAAACAATGGTCTAAATGGGGGAATTTCGCTCAGCGATGATTGGTTCCCTGCTTTGGGAACCGATCGCTTTACAACGATCAAAAACAGCTGATCGTCGAGTTTTCAAAATGGCCACTGGGTGCTTAAAATGGCTCCCCGCTGTGCTTAGGGACGGATTCCTCATACAGGCAGCGAAAATGGCCGCTATGGAGGATCTTCGCTGAATGGGTTGTTGATATTTCTTCCAGCAATCTTAATTCCGGCTTGGGATTCATCCAGTCCTGCCTTTCGCATGATCTATTCTGCATATAGGTTAAATAAGCAGGGAGAAAATATACAGCCTTGTTGTACTCCTTTCCCAATTTTGAACCAATCAGTTGTTCCATATCCAGTTCTAACTGTTCCTTCCTGTCCCACATATAGGTTTCTCAAGAGAGAGATAAGGTGGTCAGGTACTCCCATGTCTTTAAGAACTTGCCATAGTTTGCTGTGGTCCACAGCATCAAAGGCTTTTGCGTAGTGAATGAAGCAGAAGTAGATGTTTTTCTGGAACTCTCTGGCTTTCTCCAGAATCCAGCACATGTTAGCAATTTGGTCTCTAGTTCCTCTGCCTCTTCGAAATCCAGCTTGTCCCTCTAGGAGTTCTCGGTCCACATACTGCTGAAGCCTACCTTGGAGGATTTTGAGCATAACTTTATATAAGTAATGTAGTCATCTGCAACTAGGTATGGGAGAGGGAAGTGTAACAAGGAAGCAGCAAAATTACAATTAAAAATAATGTAATGTGTGGGATTGAAACTATTGAGGTAACAAGTAACATTTTCTAGTTACTGTCAAAATTGACTTTTCAAGGGCATCTCAAGGCATTTTGACAGGATTAAATATTTTTATGGTGTACTCTTTTCAGTTCCTAAAGTGTTCACATTTAAACTTTTAAAATGCCTTTGCAAGCAATACATAACACAGATTGAAATAATAAAACGGTCACACCAAAAATCAAGAAAAACATAACATCACCAGATGTATCAGATTCAAAGCACAACGAAGTAAACTGTAGGTATCAAAATTTGTAAAAATGTAAGATTTGAGGCCTAATATTAAACCTTATTTTAAAAACAGACACTGAAGAATAAATCTTTTACATTAAAGACAAAATAACATTCAAAAAGCAAAATTTCAGGTTATGATTCAAACACCTGGAAACACCTGGAAAACTATGAGACTTCAAGCTGTCTTCTGACCATGTGAGGCTTCATGCAGAATGGACTCCCATTCCTCTCCTCGGATGAGGAAGAGAACAGGGGCCCATTAACCACCACAGTTCAGGGTGTGTAGCTCAGCATGTCAGAAGACCCTGTGCCCCGCCTTCAGGAGATAGTGGATGATGGTAATGGAATTAAGAAATTTGGTTTGTCTATTAAAGACATTAAAAATTGTTGTCCAATCCTGTGTACTCAAATCACTACGTATCACCACAGTATCATAATTCATTGGCTGAAATCATGTGCCACAGTTTATGCAAACAGTGTAACTTTAGGTAGCGAACTGTTGTAAGTTAAGAAATATTTGTAGATCTTACCTGTTGCATGCTGAGTTGCACAACTCATTATACAACAGATAATGTCTATGATGATTTCTTAATTTATGGCAATTCACTTCCAAAGGTTATGCCATTTGCATCATTGCACAACAGGGTTTTAGCCTCGGTATTCTTTGCAACATAGATATGGTGCCAATACACAGTTCAGTGACTAAATCCAGATTCACTTGAGCCAAAAAAGAGCAGCTTTTCCAGTGGTCTCATAATGAAGTGTAATTTTGATTTGCAGCATTAATTTTACTCATACAGTAAAATTGGGTGGAAAAAACAGTTTCTCAGTGAGCTGCTGCCAGTGTCGACAAACAGATGCACAATTACTTTCCAGGCTGAATTTTAGAACGTGTTAAGGTTTGTGTGTCTTCTGCAGTATATAATAATTTATCCATGTGCCTCTAAACCATATAGTTGATCCAGTCATGTGCTAATTGCTTCGAGAGAAGCAAAATCTATCCACAGATGGTCCTAAGCAATTACTCTTGACCTAAGAAATGCCATTTTCTGACACCAAAAGGATGGATGACATCTGAAAGCCTTTTACTCTGTAGGAAAAATCAAGATGTTGTTTACTAGTGATTGAATAACATACTTCCATGAAGGATTTCACAGTCATGTTCAGATTCTAATGAGAATATAATTCATTTGGGTTTTACACAGAATCTGAATATGACCAGCATCCTATTGCACAGCTCCATCTGTGCAACAGGAGCACTGTAACCAGCCACAGCAGATTGCCACTATCTTAAAAGCTCCTTTTTTGATTTTGGGGTGTGTGCCCAATGATACAAAGGCACGCTTATCATGAAAGGGGGTAAAAGCAACTCCTGAATAAACTGCAGCCTGCCACAACTGATTACTTTACTCCTGTCGTGCAGGCAGAACTGTGCAATAGGATAGTGGCTGATATTTATTTTATAATAAAAAGGACCCTTAAAAATGGTCCTCTTTACATAATAAAAAGACAATGTTTAAAGCTAAAAACAAGAATACAAATACTAAAAATGATCAAATAAACACACTAAAAATGGTAAGCAAAAGCAACACCAAAAACACATTCAAAGCAGTAGGGTACAACAATCCACTTTAAAACAGGCAGGAAGCCACTGAAGGTAAGGTCTCTTGATGAGAAAGGTCATTGCCTGCTTGCAGAAGGACAGCAAATAGAAAGGTTACTTACCTGTAACCATGGTTCTTCGAGTGGTCCTCTGTGAATTCACAAAATTGGGTTTGGACTGAGCCTGCACAGGACTCCTCGGAATATTCTACAGCTTAAAACATGTGATTACTAGTAAGTTTCCCTGTGGCGTGCATGCTCTGCCCACTCGTAATACCTCAGTTCCGAAATATCTGCCACTGTCAAGGCTCTGACCCATAAAGCTCAAGAACCAAGTGACAGACAGCGAGGAGGATGAACGGGATGTGTGGATTCACAGAGGACCACTTGAAGAACCACGGTTAAAGGTAAGTAACCTCTCTTTCTTCTTCATGGCCTCTGTGAATGCACACAATTAGGTGACTAGCAAGCTCACTTACCGGACGGAGGGCCATCACCCCAGCAACAAAGTCAGCACAGCCCTTCCAAAACTTGCTTCCTTCTTGGCCCTGAGGTCCAGTCGGTAGTGCGTCACAAAGGTGGACAGCGTGGATCAAGTGTCTGATTGGCAAATGTCTGAAACATTAACGCCACACAATAAGGCAGTTGAAGTAGCCATAGCTCTCGCAGAATGTGCCTTTAATGCCTCTGGTGGAGCTTCTCCAGCCAGTTCATAGGCCAGTGTAATAGCAGGCACGATCCATCTAGAAATCATCTGTGATGAAGCAGGAGAGCCTTTATGTGGGCCATGGAAGCATACAAATAATCTAGAGGAACTTCTTCGCATAAACCATTTGAAGATGCTGGCAGTCATCAAGGCTTTTCACGCCTTCCACCCACTAATAGCAGGTCAAGGAGTCCAGGTGGTCATGGACAACACTATGATCATGTACTATATCAACAAGCAGGGGGGCACCCATTCGATGTCGCTTCTGTACTTGGCAGTACATCTTTGGGAATGGTGTTACGACCATCATGTTTTTCCAGTCGTCATTTGTGTGACAACGGACAATGACATCGCAGACCGTTTGAGCCACATGACTGCTCAGACTCACGAATGGAAACTTGATGATTCAGTTTTTTTCTATGATCTGCCATCACTGGGGAACTCCAACCATCAACATGTTCGCAACCCAGTACAACACCAAGTGCAACATGTTCTGCTCTTGGGTGGGGAAAGGCAGAGCCTCACTGGGGGACGCCTTCATGGTAGACTGGGAGGACTGTCTCCTTTATCTGTTCCCTCCAATTCCACTGATTCAGCGGACATTGGTCAGGGCTCGTCAGCTACAGTGGCCCCATGGTGGCCTCGGCAACGGTGATTTTCAACAGAGTTCCCCAACCCCCAGTCCGTAGCCTGGTGCCGGTCCGTGGCCTGAGCCCAAGCAGGCCACAGAGAGAGACCCCCCCACCCCCGTACACACTCCCCCACACACAGCCAGTTTGCGCCTGCGTGCATGCACCCACATGAGCAGTGCACTACCCTTCGCACATGCGCAAAGCACGTGCGCCCACACGAGTGCTGCACTGCCCTTCATGCGTGCGCACAAGTGTGTGCCTTCATTTGGTATCTTGTGATGCCTTGTGAAAGGAAGCAGCCGCAATCAACCAGTTGTCTATATATGGGAAGACTGTGATGTTGTGTAGACGAAGGTAGGCTGCCACTGGAGCCATGCATTTCGTGTAAGTTCTCGGGGCAGTGGAAATCCAAAGGGAAGAGCGCAGAACTGATAAGCCGTATCTATGAAGTGGAAGCGAAGATTCCTGCGGTGATGCTGATGGATGGAAATATGGGAATAGGGGTCTTGCAAGTCTATAACAGCGAACCAATCGTTTGGACAAAGGAGGGGGGTGACGGAATCCAGAGTGACCATACAAAAATGCCTTGGATGGAGGTAGGTATTCAGTAGTCTGAGGTCTAGGATTGGCCGGAGACTGCCATCTTTCTCGGGCACTGCAAAATAGCGAGAGTAGAACCCACCTGGAACCTCTTGAGGGGAAACACATTCAATAGCCTGCTTTGGGAGAAGAATAGATATCTCATCCTCTAGAGCAGGTGCGTAAGTTGTGAATCTGAGTTGACTGATAGAAGGGAGATCTATTAACTCCAAGAGGTAACCGGAACTTATGATAGCAAGCACCCAAGACAGGAGCACTTGTCTAAGAAAGGAGCTAGCAGGGGGTGATGAGAAAGGACGGGTGGATAGTTCAGGATGAGACAGTAAAAGGTACTGTTTGCCTTTCTTTGCAGGGCAGCGGAAGGTTTGCTGGACGGGAGTTTGTGATCTGAAGGCAATATTATCAGAAGATGCTGGAGGGAGGTGAGACCTTTCCTGAGTGGGATGTCTGTAAGAACAGTAAGCCTGATGGGAAGGTTGTTGATACAATTGCTCTGTACTGAAAGGTTTGCGCCACTGATATCTTTGGCATAGTGGTTGATGGACCGAATAAGAGTGAGCCGTCTTTCTGATTTTATGTAAGTTCTCCATCACCTTGTCTGTCTTCTCATTAAACAACCCAACTCCATCAAAGGGGAGGTTCTCAATGCGGGACCTCGCATCATCCATAATCCCTCTTGAGCATGGGATGCCTTCTGATTGCGATGGCAGGTGTCATTGCTTTAGAAGCAGTGTTCGCTATGCAGCGGTTGTGGCTGTCCATGAAGGGGATCTTGTTTGTGCACAGAGAACACTGCTTAAATGGGCCTGAGGAGGCCATAAAATTCAACGAACCCGGTGAGAAGAGGGAAGGGGAAAGGAAGGAAGACTCATGGGAAAACAATTCAATGGGACTTACGTAAGAGCTGACTTACGTAATTATTCGGATACTGAAATCAGTATCCGAATAATCTCAAGTCTAATTACAATCAAGTCCGTAATCCAAAAGAGGAAATCAATAATCAGTCTGGAGGTCAAAAGCCGAAGTGACGATGTATACAGCAGAATCCAAAATTGTAATCCGTAGCCAATCCAAGATCAAAATTTCCAGAAATACAGCGATAATCAGTAAACCAGACCAGAATCAATACCAGATAATTGAAGGAACTGAGGTATTACAGGCGGGTGGAGCATGCGCACCATGGGGAAACATACTATTAATCATATGTTTTAAGCTCTAGAATATTCTGAGGAGTCCTGTGCAGGTGCAGTCCAAAGCCAATTGTGTGCATTCACAGAGGCCACGAAGAAGAAGTGGGGCCTGACTGGCGTTCTGTGGGAGGGAGTCCTAAAGCCTGGAAGCAGCCACATAGAAGGCTCCATCCCGTGTCCCCACCAAACACACATGTGAAGGTGGTGAGACTGAGAGAAAGGCCTTGCCTGATTATCTTAACACCCAAGCAAGCTCCCAAAGGGAGTATCTAGGAAATCCTTGATTTGGTTTGGACCCAAGCCGTTTAGGGCTTTATAAATTAGAACCAGTAATCTGAATTGTGCCCAGAAATGGATCAACTATCAGTGGAGCTACTGTAACGGAGGGGTTGTGTGCTCCTTGTGGCCAGCCCTAGTTAGCAATCTGACTGCCATGCTCTGGACCCACTGAAATTGCCGAACATTTCAAGGAAGTATTCGGTTTCCTGTATATTTCAGAGAACATTCTACATAACAGCCAGTATCCTGTTGATAGTCTCAAATTGAGTAGAGCCACTAATTCCAGGGGACTTACGTAAGAGCTGACTTACTATTAAACCATTCTCTTTTCTCTCTCTTTTTTGAGACTAACAACAGAAATTGCCAATGTGCTGGTTCCCTGTTTCCTACAGCAAGCTTTTGAATGTGACTGACAGAGAAGATGAGAGAGTGTGAATAACTCCATCTCATATTATACTCCCCGCTCCCAAATGTTAATACTTACAGGTTCTCTTACAATGCCCAGCAGATTGTGAGGGCCTTGCTGGAGAACACTTGATTGGTGACAGAGCTGACCAATATTTTAAAAAGTGGGATAGTACAGCTGCTGATGCTGAAGCATGGTAGGCTGGAGCAACCCTCTCATGCAAGCAGCTCTGCCTGTGCCATAGGTGAAGGGTTTTGCTAAGAAGAGGTGGCAGTGTGCTACAGATCAAAGAAGGGTAGAGTCCAAACTACACCAGGAATAGTCTGAACTCTGAAAATAATGTGAGAACCAGGAAATGCCTCAGCTGTACCATCGCCTATTTCTCACTCATTCCCTTCTATGCCTCCAGTGGAAAATCACAATGGGAGACTTCAGAGACACACAATTTAAATTTGCCAAACACTCTCTTTACCAAGTCTTCAAGGAAGAAAAGTTCTCTTTCTGGTGTTAATACCTCTTACTTTGCTTGTTGGGGCTAAGCTGCAAATGCTATTGTAAAGCAGCATTTATTTTCAATGTTATATCCTACTCTATAATTAATGATTTCAAACATATGAAGCAATAACACAAGAGTGAAACAGCAGGACAGCAGAATAATCAAACAAAATAAATGCAGCAAGGTAAAAAGAGCACCATCAAATATAAAGGGATAGATACTCTATGGCAGCAACAATCAATGCCAAAGGACATTTTGGAAATTCAGCCTCCTACAAAAACGCTCTTGGTGTTGCGGCTGTGCTACCTTTTTTAGCTTGGTGGTAACATCTCAAGAGAAATCTCAGAAACTGAACAGAGTACACAGGGGAGGCATATAGTGGAGGAGGCAATCCATGTTGCATGCTATGTAGGTTCCAAGGGCAAGAATCAAGATTGTTGAACTATGCCTGTGGAACTATGCAGATAGAGCAGGAATGGGCAAACCTTTAAAACAAAACATCTGGTTCTGTTTTCAAGGTTTTGAGAGCTGTGAGTGGGAGAGCTAATAATAATGATATAGCATGTAGTCATTTCTGACTTACGGTAATCCTTTCTAGGGTTTTCCAGGTATTCTTAGAAACAGTTTACCAGTCCATCCTCCTTGTCCAAGTGCACATAGGGAATGGGATATATAGTCCCCTAGCTGGGGGCTTCTACATCCCTAATTCCATTTAGTAGCAATCTTGCAGATTCTAGAAGGATTCAGGAGTTGGAAGTGATAAGTTTTTCAAACTTTTTAAAAAATAGCCTCTGGGATACATGAGGTCATACAAATGGTAGACAGAAGACACATGCAGTTCATGGCCCTTTCTTTGCCTGCCTCTAAGACACAATAATTTCAAAAATTGTAACAGATTTTACCAGAAAGGCTGAAAGGCAATGTTACATCTTACAATGTTTTGCAATCATAGTAGGTGTTTATGAAGCAAGTATCAACAGAACTTGAGAATCTAGCACACAACTTTGGTAGGGTATTCACAACTTCAGTTTCCCTCAAAAATAAATATTTAATATTCAAAATTATCATCCAGTCCCAACTCTCACAAATAGAATTTTTTTTTAAAAAAAATACAGTCATGTGAAAAACAAAGTACACCCTCTTTGAATTCTGTGGTTTTACATATCAAGAGTCATGGCATGGTGTATTATGCCATGTGTTGTTGTTCACCTGGGGGTGTACTTACCTAATTTTTAAATCTGCTAAGGGCCAGATAATTTTTATTATGTCCTCATAGATAAAACCACAGAATTCAAACAGGGCATGCTTTCTTTTTCACATGACTGTAGCTTCATGTATACTCTAATTAGCTGTGATACTCTAGGAATTTTAACTCAAAATAAAAGTAATGTCCTCCATCTCTGCTCTCTCTGTATATTTCACAGAAGTTTTAAAAACTGAAAGGGGGAAAAGCACTTACTATCTGGGCTGGAACCTGAGGCATTCTTGCAGCAGGGGTCCCAGGGCGTGGGTAAAACTGATTAATAAAAAGACTTGGAAACTTATATGCTTCTACAAGCTTCATGGTTTCTTGAAAATCTTCATCTGTTTCCCCTGGAAACCCACAAATGATGTCTGTAGCAACTGTTATTCCAGGCACCCTGAAAAGAATGAAAACAAGAAGTGTCAAATTGAAGCAAATTCTTCCCTTAGCAAAACATGAGGCATTTAGAATGTCGTAATAGAGCTCCTCGCAGCTCTTGGCAGGCTCTATGTACCCTATATTTTCTGTGGAAAATGACAGGTATTACAAAGGAAAGACCATACAATAAAACTGCTCTTGTTTTCCACCAAGAAGTCCCAAGAATTTCTAACAGAATTTCTAATACAGAGGTGTCTTAACTTACGAACGCCCTGAGCTACGAACAATTTGAATTATGAAGAGCTCTGGCTGCAAAATTTTCCTTTGACTTGTGGCATGAGCTTTGACTTACGAATGGAAAAGGCAGGGAAAAGGGGCGGGAAATTCAAATACACTAACCGTTGGTGGCGAAGAGGCTGCTTCCTTGTAGCTCTTTTCCCCCAACGGTTAGAGCAGGGGGTCAGGGAACTTTTTAACTTTTACAGTGCAGGAAAGTACTGTACCAGGAAAGGGATGCAGTGGCTCGGCCGCTGCTAGGTCCCGTTCCTACCAGGCCAGGGACTGAGCGCAGCCCGTCGTTGGCGGATGGCTCCTTGGCTGCTTTTCGGGACTCTTCGCCCAATCCCGCTGCCGCTGCTGGGTCTTGTTCCCGCTGGGCTGTGCTCAGTCCCTGGCCTGGTGTGAACGGGACTCAGCAGCGGCGGCGGCATCGGGTGAAAAGCCCCCAAGAGCCGCCACCGCGTTCCATTCACACCGGGGCATGGATAGTGATTATGGAGCCCTGCATTGGCGGTGACAGCAAGGGGTGCTGAGGACCGATGCAGCTGCCTTGGTGAGCAGCCACTGGTACTGGTTTTGGAGGTCCGCAGAGGGCGGCAAGGAGTGAACGGGAGGTTAGCCAGGGGGCGAGTGGCCGAAGCACCCGGATCAGGCTCAAGCCTCTTGGCCGCGGCGGTCGCAGCAGCAGTGGAAGCCCAGGAGGCTTCGGACCAGTAAGGTGCTGCTTTTTAAAAAAGTTTTTCTTTTGGTGGGGGGTGATTGAGGGTTGGTGTTGTTTTGGTTTTGATGATTTTTAAAATTTTATTATTATTATTATTTTGCATTCCCAGCATAGGACTTGCTCTGTTTATTTATTTATTTTTATTTTGGTATTTTTTTTAAAATGCTGGAACGGATTAATCCCGTTCCAATGCATTTCGATGGGAAATGGTGCTTTGATCAACGAACATTTTGACTTACGAACACCATTCTAATATGGATTAAGTTCATAAACCAAGGCACCACTGTAGTTGATTCTCAACATCTTCACAAACCTAAAATTCCGTGGCTTTCTTGGGTTCTCTTGGGGCAGCTAAAGCAGTGTGCATATTTTCTGTTTGTAATATTGATGTCTACCAAAAGACCACATAAGAAGTTAAATATAGGATAACTTTTGGAAGGAAAAAATATAAATTTTCTTTCAACAGACAAGAGGGACTGAACAAGTGGAATGAAACTGTTTGTAACCTCTTGCTAGATACAGTGGGTGAGAGGAACTCTGCCAAATTCTTACTTAAAATCTAACTCAGTTGAAACCAAAATAAATTTGAGAAATCCTTAAACTGTATACCAGTTAGTCAAATTTTATTGAAGAAGTCTACGGACCATTTCATCAATCATTCACCATATACAATAACATTATCAAATTTTATAAACTTAAACTGTATGCTGATGCCATTTTTGAGTGTGGACTGCCAGGCTGATATGGGCTATTATTGCAAAGGCAGCACTTCTGAGCTTATGCACCAAATCTGTATTTCTTAAGTCTTTCAGGATCTCCATATGTGTGTACTCTAAAATCACAACAACAAAAAACGAGTCTGAATTCTATTCTTATGTCAAGTGGGCAAGATTTGCACCTCTGACAAACCCAAATAAGGCAACCCATTTTATTCTACTAATGAATAGCAAACTGCAGTCTCAAAGCTGAATAGGATGCACATTATACTGGATAAAAAACAGTTATACTGTGTTTCCACGAAAATAAGACAGGGCCTTCTATTAATTTTTGCTCCAAAAAACGCATTAGGGCTTATTTTCAGGGGATGTTTTATTTTTTTCATGTACTACAATCTACGTTTATTCAAATACAGTCACTTCTTCTTCTGGTTGTTGCACAATGGTGGAGGGTGGGCTTTCACTTAACTGGGACTTATTTTGGGGGGTAGGGCTTATATTAGGAGCATCCTGAAAAATAATACTAGGGCTTATTTTCAGGTTAGGTCTTATTTTCAGGGAAACAGGGTAGTTGAAGTTATACCAGTCATTTTAACGATACAGCTAGTAACAGAAAAAGCATGTAATACCTATAGCACTGGCAATGTCATCTGCCTCATGTGTGTTTTCCAGTTTCTATGGGAACGGGCATGGTATATTTCAGGCATACTAGAATCAATGAAATATCCAACTAACAAATTCCTCTCTGTGTGACACAGAATAAACATTGTACAAAAATCACAGCCAACATGTGTCCAAATTTCCTTTTGGTGATATTATGGTAAACACAACCCAATTTTCCCTTTGCTTTTTTTTAACAGAGCTTTCCGAAAAAACAGAAACAGGCAAAAGCTCATGACTATCTAGTCAAACAGGGTTGACCCAAATTACAAAAATTCACTTTTCTTTCCCTAATGTTTTTATAGACAACAATATTAATGCACAGGCATTTTAAAAAGTGACAGAAAACTACAGTCACTAGCTCATGCTAGACTTAATGCAATAGCAATTAAACATTTATCCTTCCTACCCCAGCAAAATACGCTATTTACAGTGTTTGAAAAGGAAACAATAGTGTGTTGCATTACCACTTGCACCAGTAAAACAACCTAAAAGGCCTAGAAACACTTTCAGTGTGTACAGGGTGACCAAACTGAATGCAAAGTCATGCTACTCAATGAGCTGGGAAGCCTGTGTCTGGGATGTTATACTGCAAGCAATGATCCTCCACTCACAAACATTATGTATGTAAATCTAGTCTGCTGGGTAGAAAGAAATTTAAGCTATTCCATATTTGCCTGTAGGAAGACTGTAGCCTAGTCTTCACCCTGACACATGTCTTTCCTATGTGTAAGATTACTTTGTTCATACAATATGAAGGAGCTCCAACTGGCAGTGGGAGAGCTCAAATGTATTTTTCTCCTTATTGAGGCTTCAGATACATTACGGACATGGGAAGTTTCACAATTAGCTACCCTAAAACGGCCCCACCAAAAGATGAACAGGAAATAAGTTGAATTTTAAGTAATTCACAGTCCAAAGGTACACAGGTTCTTTCATGCAGAGCACATAGTCTGTATACATTTAATTTAACTTCATGTAATTTCTATTGTCCATTATTTCTCAGTGACTGACATCCAGCAGTTAGTCACACTAGAGTAGACTCATTAATCAATGTGGATTTAGTGAGTCAGCTCCTCCATATGTTCCATTGATTTTATGGGTTTACTCTAGTTGCCACTTGCTACTGGATCTAACCCTTGACTACCACTGTGGCCTTCAAAGGCATCATACAGTGAAGCATTAAATCTGCAGTGTGCAACTTCTGTTGCATAGATATTGCTGGAGCGCAATTTTCATCAGTACCAGCCAACAGAGAGATTACGAGAGATGCAAGACAACCCATTGTTCAAATACACAGTACTTTGACACAGCTTTGCAGATCATTAAGCTGTTCTTTATCCAGAGAGCTTTGGAAAAGACACCATAATATTATGTATAATACTGTCATCTTCATGAATTCCTCCAATTGCACAGAAGACTATAGTCTGTTTCTTCCTCTTTCACATGTTGAGTGATTTACGCAACAGTCTGTTATTCAATGTGTCCAATTAAATGTGCTGGCCTTCTTGCAAGTCCTAAATTCTGTGTGACCAGGTTATCTTATGTACTGTCCCCGTCCACATGAATGGCCACCCGATGAGGGTGCGTAGCCTCAACATCTGGAATGAATGAATTATTTAGCAAATCATTCTTTGTGAGAAACTACAAGTAGGCACAAATGTCCCAATTGCCATCTGTGAAATGTTGGAGCATATGAATGATTTATGCATGCCAAAAGCTGTAATAGATATCGCATAGGGGTCTGTTATTACACCACGTGGCATATCAAATAAATAGAAAAAATGTTTGTTTAGGGACCAGAAACTCTGAAACATCTCAAGAAAAATATAAATAAAAGATATTTCTAGAAATTATGACAGTGCATTAAAAACAATCTTTAGGATCAATACCATCTATACTGAAATGCAAAATTTAAATTCATTTTAAAGAAAATATTTAAATGAAAGGGCAGAATCCTTCACTCAGTAAAACAGCCTGTTGAGTGAGAGAGTCACCATTTATGGAGCTACAGTATTTGAAATTTTCATTTCTTCCTCTTCAACTGTTGTAACATACTTCTGTCCTGGTTAAACTGGTTTAGAGGATGGATATGTTACAAAATTTGCAGCAACATGGGAAAAACATATTCTATGCTCACACCTTTTCTCAAACAAGCAGAACAATAAAGGAAGATTTTCATTTTAATTACCAATTGTTTCTCAAGCATATTGCATCCTGTCAACAACCATTGTTTTCGAATGAAATATTTTCCAGGAATATCTTATCTTATACTCTTATAGCTACACTTTCCGAGTCATTTGATAACCTGCCACACTATACATTTAACCACATGGTAAGCTAACATCATATGCCTCTCATCAGGACAAAGAAGAAAAAGAACGTTATCATCTGCCATGAAAAAAGTTTGATAAATTAAATCCAGCTAAGCAGTTATTTGCAGACTGAGGTAAGTATCAAACTTTCTACAGATTCCTCAGCATACAGCTAATGGATAATGAAGTGTTCTGCAGATACATGTGCTGTGAACAGCTACATACACCTACAGTATGCCTAAATGCTGCCCGGTGGGATAGCTGGATGCACTGCAATTTATATGCAAAACATTTTTGGGAAGCAAATTTCATTCAGCTTGTGTGTATG